GCATTCAGAAATAGCAAAATGAAAACTTGTGTGGACCTGTTTAGTAATGCTGATCGCTATCTTAGTAACCCTCGATTGAGCATAACTTCTCATAAATAACTTCTTCCTATCAAAATTTTTTCACTTTTTTTTGTTTGATATCATCTGACTTATTGGTGTGGGAGTCTTTCTGCAGTTCTGATAATGTCTCCTTTTATTACATTGTTGAATTCCTGTGCTTAGTTCACGCGATTTCGTGCATCTATGGTTTTGTGCGCATCTTTTATGGTATATCTTTGTTATTGTCTATTAATTTTCTTTCATAGTTGCCTTCAATGTAAGTCCATATGTTACCATATGTTAATCACATCATGTAAACATTAATATAGGTCCTGTAGCAGAAGATATGTTCCATTGGCAAGCCACAATTATGGGGCCTTCTGATAGCCCGTATTCTGGAGGTGTATTTTTAGTTTCTATTCATTTTCCTCCTGATTACCCTTTTAAGCCACCGAAGGTATACTTCAACTCTTTGCTTTTAGATTGTTACATTTAACCATTATTAAGTTGTTGATTCATAATGACATGGCATCAGCTGGTAGGATGCTCTGGCAGAGTACTTCAATGCTGATTACTTTGTTGTGTTTAGACCTATGAAAATATTTTATTCCTGCAATCCAACCTTATATCATTCTTCCTATTCTGCTATATCTTGTAACCTGTTGAGATTAGGTATTCATCTTCTTTCTCAAGGAAGAACTGTAGAATGCCTTGACAATGTCCTTATTGTGACTCATTATTTATATATTGAACGCTCGAGACTGCCATTTTGTGCCTGTATCGAACTATATCCTTGTGATACAGTATCACTTGGAAAAGAGATACTGGATTTCTCATTGTGCGTCTTTTGTAGAATGATTTTGTCGCATACTAAATTTGTTATATTTTCCTTGCTTGTTTGAAGTAGGCTTTTGATACCCCTTTGGTTTCTAGGTTAGTGAGCAACCAATTGATCAGAAAATTTGATTTTTCATTGTTTTAGGTTGCATTTAGGACAAAGGTCTTCCATCCTAACATCAATAGCAACGGAAGCATTTGCCTTGATATTCTGAAAGAACAGTGGAGCCCAGCATTGACCATATCTAAGGTATGTCATTTTGTTATATTTCGGTAGGTGGCATCCCCAGTTTGGCCAAAAACGTGTTCGACCTTGGTCTGAAAACACTTATTTGCTAAAATAAAGTTGCTCGTGACCATGCATGTAACAGTTCATTACCTAAAGTGATTTTTTGGTGGTTGGTTCATTACTTCTTTATATACAAGGAGTTGTGTTCTTCTGTTGTATTCAATCGCAACATGTCCTTTTGTAGCGCACGGTTATTACCATCTATATTTTCTATAATTCTCTATGCATTTTTATTATAATATTAAGGTTTTACTTTACATTGACTGAAGTTGTGATAATTCTCTTTATGAGAAGGCCTATCAAAAAAATTCTCTTTATGAGAAGGGAATTTCTGGAGGATCCACTTTCTGCAGTTGATAGATCCCTTAATTTTCTTGCATTGGCTCGATCACTTAGCTGAAATAGTTTGCAACTTGTATTTGGGATTGGTTTGATTCCTGTTTGATGTATAAATGAATCTCACATTTTTTTTTCATGGAAACGGGATTATCCTTTTTGCAGAGAATGGTGGAAAATGACTGGTTTAGATTAGATTGTCAAATCTTCTTAATATATAAGAAATACGAGTTGTGAGTTAAAAGCATGTTTGGGAAGTGTTTGTAAATGGTTACAATCATATGTAGATAGAAATGGATGGTGATTGGTGAATAATTGGATAGTACGTTTAGGTCCCTCGAAATGTATGAATAAAAAGTAGCTTAAGAGTTTATAAATAGTTTATATACATGAGCCAAACATGGGCAAGTCTTATCTCGGAGAGTCTATAGAAAATGAAAATGAACTCAAGGATTTGCACCAGGAGACATGCGCGTCCAATTCATAAATAGAAATTTTTAGATCAGATAGGGAAGATAATTTGGATAACCTGTTTTCTGGTGTACTCTCAGCTGTTATTTCTGCCACTAAGAATGTTAGCTTATAACTCAAATACATTATTTTTATTTGAGCTATTCAATTTGTCGTGGAGACTTGAGTTTTTAACAGTGTTTGTTTTCTTGTAGTAATTTTTCTGTCAATGAAAGCATTAAAGCTGATATGCATCTTTTAATGTTTCTGAAAACTTTGATGGTAGGTCTTATTGTCTATCTGTTCCTTGTTGACGGACCCAAATCCTGATGATCCTCTCGTGCCAGAAATTGCTCATATGTACAAGACAGATAAGGCCAAGTACGAGTCCACCGCTCGTAGCTGGACACAGAAATATGCAATGGGATGATCCTGAAAAAGATGGCGTGTCTGAAAAATGTAATTGACTGAAATGATCTCTATTATGCTTCTGCAATAGAATAAACTGTCAATCTTTGATTGGGACCGACCATGAACTTAACTCTTAATTTGTCAATTTACATGTCAATATTATTAGATAGTGAAGAACTGTAATGTAATGCACCTTATTGTGTTCAAGACGATGTGTCCTTTGATCAAGTCATTTTTTAATTTTCAATGAATTTCATATTTTTTTAATTTAATAGTTAAAAGGACAGGTCCTATGATGTGAATTTCTACCCTTTGGAAACGCCCTCCCCTTGCACAATTATTGAGGGCAAGTTTGAGATCGATTTTGCTCCTGCTTCTTCATTTTCTCGTAGAAGGGTTTCATGAGCAAGTTATCTTAAAAGACGGTAATTTTTCTCATAAGCAGCGTTTGATTACCCAACCCTAACACGTGATGCGGAGCCTCCTTTTGGTTGGCTCACGACAATTGAAATTGATTCAGGTTACCTCTCGAAGAAGGTTTAGTAGGAGTAGGTGAATTTTTTTTATTTATAAATAGTGGGAAGGCATTGGCACACAAATAATTTAGGACATGGTTGAAGGGCAATAGTTTTGTCTCGCTTCTACTTTTTTGCTCACGTGCCGGCCCATGGGGTCTTCTTCCTTTGCTTCTTCAAGTTGGTTGCCGACCATTTCTTACTTTTCAACATCTCTAATGGCCCTCTTGGATTTATTTAAAATTTTGAAATTGTTGTCATTTTCCATTAATTAATTTTCAATTTTACCCTTACGATTAATCTTCGGGTCAATTCTTTATAAAAGAAAAAAATTAATCAAGGAGAGTGTAATGGGTGAATCATGAAAAAATAGCCGCACAATCATAATTTTTTAATATATTTCGTCTTGAATAATACAATTAGTCGTCTTAAATCGCGTGGTCTATCTCTTCTCTTATACTTTATTGGGGCTTTTTTCTGTGAATTGTATAATTGTTTACCCGTAGAGGACGTTTTCCAACTTTTTATCCCAAATTATTTATCTATTATACCGTGTTGATGAATTTATGTTCTTTGGTCGTTGCCCAAGTCTTCGATGTGGATTCAATGGTTTAGGTTAGTCAACGTGAGTCAGGATTTCCTTAAGAAATTTCCTAAACCTCATTTTTCACTTTGATTACGAGAATTGCTTTACGGGTCGGAAAAGACATCGACGGTGTAAGTTGTTGGCACATATGAAAAAAACAAAAATCAAAAAATCAAAAAGTTAATAATTGCTGACGTTACTTTCGGGAATTGTCAAAGCTTTTTTTCTTTTGGTATAACAAACTGATTTTCTTATAAATAATTGCTCAATGTGAGAGTGACGTTTATGCAGTAAACCTTGTTTTCGATTGTAATTTTTGCAGAGGTAATAATTGGTAAATAGCGTGTTCGGTAGAGATTAAAATCGAATTAAAATTGAAAAATTAGCCGTTACTGTTGACTTTTATTAGATGAGTGAGACCCAATGACAACTATATTTTCAATTTTAATTGAATTTTTAAATCCTATCAAACATGCTCAAAGTTTGGTGAAAAGGCGAGATAAGAGTAGAAATTTCCAACATGGAAGAGCCCTTTTCATACGTCAACAAATGACAGCCGTAACATAGACTCTTGCCCCCCTCCTAAAATCTACGTCACATCGATGTATCCAACTATCCAAGTCTTAAATAATGCTCCTTGAACGAATTCAAGAACATAGATTGATAGATAATAATAATTGAGTGTTGTATTTTTATTTTTCAAAATTATTCAATCATGCATCGATATGGTCATCTCTATTTTTGAACATGTCATTGAATTAGTTTGCGTAGCACAATTGCCAAGCTTCCCCCACCTCACTTCCTACATATTTTCACAAAGTTTAGCCTCAGAGATTAAAGCAATTTTAATTAAGATTAACAATTAATTTTAATCATACTTCGTAGATCTACAACTTTGGTATAACAATAAATTTTATCAACTTTCATTAAAATTTACTATTGTTTGGTGCACATTTTGAGTTCAAGAATACATTTTTTGTTTGTTGTGATAGAAATGTGTGATTGAAAAAGAAGGAAACGTTATTAATGTGATTAAAAATATGTGATTAAAAATAAATAGAAGAATGATAATTAAAAAATAATGTGGCTCAAATGTGGGCTCAAAATATAGTTCTATTTACTTATAAATTAGTCAAACGTATAAGCTTAAAAGATTACTGTAGACTACAATGACTCGTGCAGTCTAGTGGCAAATAAGAGTCCACATTTTTCTCTTTGTTTTCTATAATTTCTTGGAAAAAAACATCATTATATATACATCTTACTGCTTTCTGCTTACATCTCCTTGTATCCATGCATCTGCTGCTCTCAGAATAGACAGAGAGATATAGAGAGAGGGTGTTAGGACCTTCAGACAGAGAGACAGTTGTTTCCCGCCAGAAAACAAAAGCTCTTTGTCCCCCCACTCCCACTTTTCCTCTTTATATACCCAAAAAATCACTACAAAATTCAATCATCACTTCTTCTTCTTCAGTCTAGTTTTTTTAAAGTTCCTGTCTTCTTTGGTTTTAAACTCAATCAGAGCTTGTGTTGAGACATGGAACTGAGACCAGTGGTGAAGTTTACAGAACATGTAGTCACTACAAGCAAGCTCATCGATCACCGGCATCCCACAAAGCTCCGGCATAAGGCCGTGAGGATCATACTCACCGACGGTGACGCCACTGACTCCGGTGATGATGAAGGTTCCGGAAGAATATTTGTCCGTAGAGTCAAAAGACACGTTGAAGAGGTCAACTTTAAGTCAGAGGTACCGAAGCAACGGTATAGTAATAGTAACAGTCAGAAAAAGAGGAGCTTGACTTCGCCGGTAAAGGACGTCAATAGCATGAAAAAGTTCAGGGGTGTGCGTCAGAGACCGTGGGGGAGATGGGCAGCCGAGATCCGTGATCCGACTAGTAGAAAACGGGTCTGGCTAGGGACTTATGACACTCCTGAAGAAGCTGCTTCGGCTTATGACACCGCCGCCGTTAAACTGAGAGGACCCACCGCAGTCACTAACTTTCCGGCGGCTCAACGAGTCTCTATCGACTCCATTGCCGAGAGCCCAACAGAGAGCGACGCAGTTACATCTGGAAACGACTCCGCTTTGTCGCCCACCTCCGTTCTCCGCCGTGACGATTTTACGCCGTTTGAAGAAACTGCTTCAATTTATGACACCGCCGCCGTTAAACTGAGAAGACCCACCGCAGTCACTAACTTTCCGGCGGCTCAACGAGTCTCTATCGACTCCATTGCCCAGAGCCCAACAGAGAGCGACGCAGTTACATCTGGAAACGACTCCGCTTTGTCGCCCACCTCCGTTCTCCGCCGTGATGATTTTATGCCGTTTGACTGTCTCTTCGGCTTTGACGGTGACGTTGACGCCTTTGGGTTCAGCATTGAATTTCCGTTCAGTTTGCCGAGTGTTGGTTTGCCATACCTAGCCGAGGAATTCAGCGAGTTTGACTTCGATGCTTTCCTCGAAGAAGTCAGATGATGCGTCTCTGTCGAGATGGTTGCTTATGTTCCACACACAGGTGTATACGTTGCGTACACTAATTTGTTATTATTATCGCTAGTGTCCGATTAATTGTGGCGATTTTTGGAGGAGATATTTGTGTAGCTTTATTATTATTATACTACGGTAAAAGTATATAATAATATCATTTTTTCCTGGCAAAAGAAGGAAAAAAGTGAGGTTTGTGACTTTGTGGTGGCATTTGAGATTGTTTGTTAGTCTTGAGATATATTATTGTTGTTGAAAATTACTCAGATCGACCAGTACTGGCCAAGAACCAGGAAATCACCACTACCATGTCAAAAGTAACTCAGGTTCACAAATACTAGCAGAGAACCAAGAAATCACTCGATCGGGGATGCGTATAACCATATTGAAAGTAACTCTGATTCATAACCACTGATCGAGTACCAAGAAAACCTCTCAACCCTGTGTACCCTGCGTGTCTATAACCCTGCATGATATAGTGTTAGTTTTTCGAGTGTTCTACATAATATTGAACATATTGTAAACGAACTATAAAATGAGATATTTTCAGATTTTTTTTAGTGAGCCGAAACATCGTATGCCACGTTATCGTGGATTTGATCGACATTTCTAAGATATTCATAGAACAAGAACTGTTTGTTTGGATATGGACGGAGGAGGATTCATGAAAAAGACCAGTCCACCTTGTTTGGACACTGTTTATTGAAAATCTCATGTCACGCAAGTTACCGGCGGCTGGAGTGGATAGTGCAAAAATTCCAATTCTAAGTGGATTAGAAATAAAGAAGAAACAAAGTGGCCCATATGAATTTTGGAATGTAGTGCGAAAGGGTACTTGTTTTTTGGAAATGATAGCAGCCTTCCACCGCCATCACAGAAANAAATGATAGCAGCCTTCCACCGCCATCACAGAAATACTACTTGGTGTAAAAACGACGTGTAATGAATTAATGCTAAAATAATTAAAAAAAAGAAGAAGATAACTTCGGATTTTTAAGAACTTTCTGTCAACTCTCGTTGCGTGCAAGCCCAATTTCTCTTGCTATAGTGGATCTTAGAGTATACATGTTAGTCATTGAATAGTCTGGAATTTCAGTATGCAAGTGTTGGTCCTGGTTTGCACATCCAAACTTCTCTAAAAATAAACATGCGAATTCTAATATTGGTTTGCTCAATCGAGTCGATAGACTAACATATAAGAGTCTGAACTACCCATTTTCATAATGTTAACATTTTAAGGTAGAACATCAAATTTTTATCAAACTGTTAACAACTTAGTGTTAAATTAAATGGTTCAAGAGGTTAGAACTTGGAGATACTACCATTATTTCAAAATATAGCTACATGTCTACTGGTGTCAATCGAGTCGAGCGGCTCGTCAGCTCGGCTCGTGAAAAAACGAGCCACGAGCCGCTCAGAGATACTACCATTATTTCATCCTTTTCTTGATTTAGTATGGTTGTTACATGCCAAAATGTTTAGTCATTAAGCTCAATAGCCATATAATAACTACATTAAAGGTTCAAGCAAAGATTATTTACAACATTTCTTTTTCATCGAATTGGTAATTATTCAATACTCTTGAAAACTATAAATTTTATGTCAGTATTATTGAACAATACTCCGTCCTTCTAAAAGAAAGACAATTTTAATGCATCAATAGGAGAATTCTAGAAGAATATCATATAATTTAATCACTCGTAGAGATGTGTTTTATATATGAATTTTATACCGTCAAAATGTTTATTCTTGGAGGGACACATAAAAATTTTGGTTTTAGTATTGATTTTTTTTTACCACCATTACAGAAATACTACTTGATCAGACTTGTAAAAACGTTTAATGAATTATTACTAAAATGTTAAAAAGAAGAAGATAACTTTTATTAATAATTAATTTTAACCATACATTTCATCAGATTCATAACTAACAATATATTTTATTAATTTTTATTAAAACGTGCTAAATACCTGATTTTTATCTAAATCGAAGTGTATATATGCGTAGGAATGAAAAAAAAATGGATAATTCTTCTTGTACATCAAGGGTGCCATAATGG